ACAGCGGAGCTTTATGCTATTCTCCATCTCCTGCTTTCTCATTGTCAATCCTCCTTTGAGATTGTCGTAAGAACTTCGGTTTCAACTTTTACCATTTCGTAGCTCAGTCGATTAAGGCAGCGTCTGGGATGACGCAGGTTTGAATCCTCGTCACGGCCCTTGTAGATTTGTTCATTTGATACATCAGGTTATTGTGATTTCTGTGCACTTTTGATATGGTTCGCCTTATGCGTTTGTTCTCATATTGGCATCCTTGGTGATATTTAACGTCCTCTGATTATTCCGCACATGTGATGGTGCTACATAGCCTTCCAGGTTTGGTGCCTTCTTTTTGATAATTACTTACTTTCTCTAGGTAGCACGAATTCTTTATCAATACAAGTAAGGAACAATACCATCTAGTGTTTAACAAGAAAAATTTAAATAGATATTCATAATGAAACTACTTATTCTGTCAGCCTAATAAATCTTCCACCATAACACGTTCTCCCTCATGTTTTGCCTTAAATCCGTAGTTTTTTTTTATAAATTGAAAATGTCATGACAATTTCAATATTAGTGTAAAGTAGAACCCTTTACAAATAATTTGTCGCTATACTGTAAGACAAACAATATAGCGACAAATTATTTTCCCCGTCGGTATAACCAAGCCAAAATAAAGATGGTAGAGTATTTCTTTATTACCAAATGAAGTGCCACCAGTGGGACTTGGCAGCAGACTAGTAGTCTTAAAGCTTGAGGTCAGTGTCAAGGCTACACCTGCTTTTTTCTGCCACATTACCACTACGCACAATTTTTTTTAGTCAGTAGTAAATAAATGGAATGCATTAGAAAGTGATGTGGTGGAGGCAGACTCCATATGCAGTTTCAAGTGTAGATATGATAAAGCCCAATAGGCTCATGAACCTGTACACCAGTTGATTAACAGTTGAGAGGCGGGCCCAAAGAGTCGAAGCTCAACCCCCGCAAGCACAACTAGGTGAGCGCGCGCACACACACTGGCAAAAACCTGGTTAACTTAATCACAATAACTTCATCATTTTTAATTTATATTGTACTACATTTAATAGAATGCTGTGAAATAGTTTTTATTACCTATTGCATATGATAATCTTCAAAATCCATTAATATATTCATTACATTTCCAGCTATGCAAGAACACTAATGTTATACAGTATTAAGGAGCCGAGAGTTCAAAAATATTAGAATTTAATGAAAATCACTTTAAAATGTTATACAAATCTCAAATTATTAGGCAACAGCATCAGGAAAATTTAATCCCAATATGTTAAGAAATGGATTTTATATGAATATTTAAAAAAATCTGATTATAAAACAGCTCCTATTAACTGGAACTGAGGAATAATGCAATGACAGATGCAAGCACCTGTCCGGCACACAAAGGATAGTAGGAAGGAGGGTCCACAAAGTGTATATGAAACTGGTGCTTTTCTAGCATTTCTGAGTAATACATAATAACACAAATAATAATGAGTGTTATGCTGTATTTTACTATGCATCATATAAATACATTGCCCATGCCAATATCTATTAGTTTCACCAATGTCCCAATTTTATTTTTTCTCCTTTGTTTATAATCAGATTCTGTTGAAGCTTCTACATCTTGGGGAATGCATACCCATCACCATGTATTTGAAGGGCAGGCAAAATTGGTCAATAAGTTAAAAATTGCAGGAAATTACTTTTTTAAAATTTAGATTTCAAACTATTCTCTTTAGTTTGTACTGCATTGAAGAATGGGACCATTTCTGGGCCTTATCATTTATTTAAAGTATACTTATTATCCTTATCCCTATTTTTTTTAGTTTTTCTTTACTATTTTAACACATATTGACCTAAAACTAACATATTCGATTACAAATTGCCAAGCAATGTTAATTAAAACTTATAAGATATATCAGTTCGAACTGTTTACCTTTATTTTTCTCCATGAACAGTATTTCCAACTTTGAGACTAGCTGTTAAATTCAGTTTGAGCAATTCTCACCATTTTTAGATTATGTACAAAGTTTAGTTCTAATGTTTCTTCAATTGCCTTTATTCATAAACATATAACTTTGGGTGTTATAAATTTTTGCGTCTACATTCTGCACACATTTTGAAGGCTAAAGTGACTTTTTTACAGTAACTATACTCTCAAACTATTTTAAATTGAGGAAAATGAACGCTATATGCTATTCTGAGCCCATAATGAATAAAATAAAAATTGGTGAAATATAAGCTTAATATGAAATTGTGAAATTTTCAATTTTTTTATTTTTTTTTCCTGTTCATTTTATATTGAACCATTAACCATGTAGATTATGCACAAAAAGTTTTGAGTGTGTTTGAGGAAGGTTGAGAAATCAGTCTCCCGGCCCCTTAAGTTTCACTGAATATTTGTCATGCTAGGAACACAATTGTATATACCCTCCATCACAATTTCTTTCCAGTTTACTACGTCTTTTTTATGCCATGCTCATGTTATAGCTATGGTTTTTTAAGATTTGCATTCTTCATTAAAACTGACATACAGCATGCTGTTGCAATTGCTGTGAGTAATTAATAACTAATGCAAAACAAAATACCAGTTTTTAAAATCAACCATTGAAAATGCAAGTCATTATATCACTGCATATTTACATAATATATACAAGCCATTTCAACTTTTTATTATTACCACTATTAAAATCATATGTAATATTCAAAGAATTTATAGTATTAACTACTGTACAGTATGTGTTTTAGATATGTTAAAGTAATGTTCTCCAGTGCACAAACCTCTTACATCTGGCATACGCATTAACACCACTTTAGTCGCAGATGTTGCCACCAGGCACACCTGCACTCTACTCCACCTTAACCCAGTTTGGTATTTCTTGCACTAATACCTATTACTGCAGTTTCTCCAATCGTACAGCTTCCTTGAGTACATGTTTACAAATGCATGGGTTTGCTCATACCAACCAATGTAATGTATTTTGAAATAGATATTTTACAATTATGAAACATGCCAGGAAGGAAGTGGGTCTTCATTGTTGTCAATTTTAGGGCTAAATAAACAATCACAGAAAGACACAAAAAATTAAAAGAAAAGCAAGCAAACCTTAAGGATAAGTCTAAATAGATACCACTCAAGTGAGAGGACTTGAAAGACAAGCTATGCAAGAATATTGATATACATCTCAATCCATTAAGAGCAGTATAAAATAAAAATGTTAAACTAAGCATAGTTGTAACCAAGTACAGCACGCTGACAGTGCTAAATAATGAATTGAAGTCCAGCTCTTACTCATGAAAATGATGCAGGTATTGAACACAATGGAAACCTCAACACCTGCAGGACATATTCACTTGCATGGGTGCAAATGCAACTTTAATAAAGAGTAATAAATGTTCCATTAAGAAAATTAATTTTGGAAAATTTTGAGCGAGTTTGCAAATCACTTTTATAATATTGTTCCTCACAAAACAGTCTTGAAAAAAACAAAATACAGTATGGTATCGGCAAAAGTGAGAAAAAATTTATTAAAATTCATAATTTTTTCTAGTACTCTTTTCCATACGATTTATGCTCCTGTATGTACACATACTTACATGTATATACGAGTGTCTAACACACCTGTTTCGTCATACTAAAGTACCCAATCTCTCCTGCCTATATATGGATAAACATTATTGAAATTATGGAAATATGAATAATACCTCCTACTGTAAGATTCTGTTTCAACATATCCCTATTAAATTATTGTTATCCAACTCTAACAATAACCTTTAATGTCAATATTGTGCTCCACATCATTTATGAATTTATTCTATCTACAGTGTTAATGATTAGCATCTTTAAAATGTCTGAATAAATATAATGGTGTTCATTACTGCCATGGCTCTCTTGTTTACCATCAAACTCAGATTTCCATAGACACAAATCCATTGTAGTTAGACAAACACACACATGTATTTTTAAATAAAATTTTAAGGACAGAAGGCTACATTCAAAAGGTTTAATCACCAATACTAAAGATGTAAAAATCAAAGTTACTTTAACAAGACACAGTGTATCTAGTGCTAACATTTCCTGGAGCAACACAAGTATGCAGACGGCATGGTAACTGCCAGTCACAAAATGAAGCCATTGTCTTGACTAAACCAAATGCTTCAATCCAGACTCAAAGAATGTTTATAGTTCCAATGGCTACTAAACGTTTTGGAAGGCAGTATTAAGTACCACTGTTCCATCAATTACCACACATTGGATGCCTCCACCTGGTGCGGGCCAGGTATAAATTTTAATTTTACAAATGTAAATCTACTGATTTTATATTATTATACATATACACACACACACACAATTTTATTTATTATATATATATATATATATATATATATATATATATATATTATATGTCGTACCTAGAAGCCAGAACGCACTTCTCAGCCTACTATGCAAGGCCCGATTTGCCTAATAAGCCAAGTTTTCCTGAATTAATACATTTTCTCTAATTTTTTTCTTATGAAATGATAAAGCTACCCATTTAATTATGTATGAGGTCAATTTTTTTTTATTGGAGTTAAAATTAATGTAGATATATGACCGAACCTAACCAACCCTACCTAACCTAACCTATCTTTATAGGTTAGGTAGCCGAAAAAGTTAGGTTAGGTAGTCGAAAAACAATTAATTCATGAAAACTTGGCTTATTAGGCAAACTGGGCCTTGCATAGTAGGCTGAGAAGTGCGTTCTGGCTACTAGGTACGACATATATATATATATATATATATATATATATATATATATATATATATATATATATATATATATATATATATATATATATATATATATATATATATATATATATATATATATATATATATATACACACACACACACACATACACACACACACAAAGTATATAAAATCATAATTTTGTAATAACAGCACTAAGTTTCCATAGGTGCAGGAAAAAAGGCACCATAGCTTTATATGTCTGTGTCTTTCAAGCCACTATATTGGTGCCCAGACTTTCACCTGAATTCTTCCAGTAAGGGACTAAAATCAAAAGCTTTGTGGAATTCCAACTTTACCACTCGCCCTCCCCCGTCGCCTTTTGAAAGACATAATCTTTCCCTCTCAGGTTCATGATGCCATCTTTTAAGGTGAACTTCCACTTATTCCTCACTCGAGTGATCTGCAAATAAAACAATGTCAACTAGGTAAGTTTTAATAGTACAAGGGTATTTTAGAAAGGTATCCTTGGCCAACATATTTTAGGATATGAACAGAATAGTAGGAGCAGCACAGAGGGTGCAATGTTAACTTTGTGCTGAAATGAGTACAGATAGTATAATAGATTCAGAGTGGAAGATGGAGATTGGAATATACACATTGAAAAGTGTATATTCAATTCACTGTCCTGACATTATTTTTCGATGTACGTATTTCATTTTTGTACCAATGTGTTCGCAATAGAATGTTCTAGAAGAACATATGTATAAAACGTCACATAAGGATGCGTTCGACCGGCAACAAATATAAAAACTACGTCGATTATACTTGTCGTGTCAATAATACAATTGTTTTGCCACGATGATTCACTGCCATGCCGTTCTATCAAGTAAGCTCTTCGGCTAGTAGGGAAAACGTAAATTTCATGGCGAAAATTTGAAACTATCCCCAAGTAGATCGGATAGAAATTGGAATTTATACAAATATTTTTTCTCGAGACTCCAGCCGGTGTCACCCATGCGGAAACAAGAGAAAACTTGGTGACGCTGTCCGGCGCCACCCCTGGGCGAAAGTGTTAATTGCGAACTCATTGATACCAAAACGAACGATGTAGCACGAGAATTAAGATGAGAAAACTGAAACGAGTACACACATTTTACTGATTTTGTGCGCTCACAGGTAACTCTTCCGACGTTAGGCTTTGCTGTGGGGAGTCTCGCCAGGCTTTTGAACATTACATGCATATACATCTGCAGGGAATTTCATTGCGAACACAATGATACCAAAACGAACGACATAGCACAAGAATTAAGGTGAAAAAACTGAAACGAGTATACACATTTAGGTGTCGCCGCACGCTCGCCCGCACCATTGACCCCATGACGTCAAAGTCTGCAGTGCGCGCGTGTCGCCGGTGATAAGAGTTAAATAGGAATGGGCAACACAACCTCGCCAGAGTCATTTTCTACCTCCACTTAAGGTGGTAGGAGGAAGGCCATTAGGAACACGCTACCTTTAAGAGGACGCAGCTTGTTACCACTAACAAACGACCAACGAGCACGGTTTGAGGAATGAGTAACTGGGTAGATGCCGAAATAAGGAACACCTTCGTGGGAAATGGGACAAGTGCGAATAGCCTCTTTTCACTGCAGCATCCACATGCTCATTGCAGGAAACACAAATATGGCTGGAAAACCATTAAACTTGACTGTCTTAAATCTGCTGGAGATAAGAAACAGTCAATATTGAATTCTGACAACCACAGGATGGACAGGATTAAAGGACTCCAGATGCCATGAGGACACTAAGTGTCAACTACAACAACAGAGGAAGAATGACCGTAAGAATGCAGTTGATGAAGACCAAACAAAATTGAATAAAGTTCTGCCATGAAGATGCTAGTCTGTTTGATACCTGGTTGATGGGGTTCTGGGAGTTCTTCTACTCCCCAAGCCCGGCCCGAGGCCAGACTTGACTTGTGAGAGTTTGGTCCACCAGGCTGTTGCTTGGAGCGGCCCGCATTGAACCTCTGATGTTCATACAGTGTTCTCTGATTGTGCCTATGGCACCTCTGCTCTTCACTGGTTCTATTCTGCATTTTCTTCCATGTTGTTCACTCCAGTATGTGGTTATTTTACTGTGCAGATTTGGGACCTGTCCCTCCAGTATTTTCCATGTGTATATTATTTGGTATCTCTCTCATCTCCTTTCTATTGAGTACATTTGGAGAGCTTTGGGACGATCCCAATAATTTAAGTGCTTTATCTCGTCTATGCGTGCCGTATATGTTCTCTGTATTCCCTCTATTTCAGTAATCTCTCCTGCTCTGAAGGAGGAAGTGAGTACTGAGCAGTACTCAAGACGGGACAACACAAGTGATTTGAAGAGTACAACCATTGTGATGGGATCTCTGGACTTGAAGGTTCTCGTAATCCATCCTATCATTTTTCTGACTGACACAATACTTGTTTGGTTATGCTCCCTAAATGTTAGGTCGTCGGATATCATCATTCCCAAATCCTTGACATGCTGTTTTCCTACTATGGGCAGATTCGATTGTGTTTTGTACCCTGTATTATGTTTAAGATCCTCATTTTTGCCGTATCTGAGTACAGTACCTGGAATTTATCACCGTAAAACATCATGTTATTTTCTGCTGCCCAATCGAAAACTTTGTTAATATCTGTATGTAGTTTATCAATGTCTTCAGCAGAGGTAATTTTCATGCTGACTTTTGTATCATCTGCAAAGGATGACACGAAGCTGTGACTTGTGTTTTTGTCTATATTTGATATGAGCCTCCGGAGGTACGTGACACATATAGGAAGAGTAATGAAATACAGTACAACGGAGTAGCCTACACCGTTGGCAGACTAAGACCCATCTGTGAAGACGTAGATGGAGCAGGAATGTGAAGAAAAGTGAGCAAGAAAAAGGTGTTTAGGAGGGGTAAAAGCTTTAGTCTTGTGGGTCAAGGTTCTACAAAACTTTGGAAGAGGGACCCTCCATGGGGGCAAGGATGTAACGTCACGAGGAGAAACCTTGGTAACACAGAGAACCTTGCAAACGAGACAATCACACAGAAAGAGGAAGGTGGTGAAAGGAAACAGGGCCCACAGGAGGGGTAATGGTCAAAGTACGGCATAAGTGAGAGTGAGGGTGTTGAAGGGACCTCGCAAAGTAGAAGACAGTAGTGATCACGGTGATCCTGTAGAGACAGGACGCGGGTTTCAACATACAGGCTCTGGGTAGGAGTCGAACGAAAAGCACCGGAGCCGAGGCATAGCCCAGTATTGTGAAGAGCATCAAGATGATGAGTTGAAGGAGAGGCAGATAAGTAAGCAGGACAGCCATAATCGAGTTTAGACAGCATGAGAGAGGAATGTAAAGAGAAGAGTGTGTGCTTATCAGCTCATCTGGAACTATGGGACAAGACCTTAAGTTAAAGGCCTTAGAGCCTTCAACTCTGAGGTAGGAGATATAGGGTGACCAGGATAAGTGAGTGTCAAAAATTAGCCCCAGAAGTTTAGCAGCATCCTTATACAAAAGAAGATTACCATAAAGTGACAGGGGGATCTAAGAATGACCTGCTTCCGAGTAAAGGTCATAGCATTAGTCTTAAATTTTGAGAAACTGAAGCCATGATTGGTGGCCCATGACAACACAACATCAATTGCAAGTTGAAGCCACCATTGGAGGAAAGGCGAGTCATCACCTTGACAGCAGAGGGTAAGATCGTCAACATAGATCGATGAGGAAATGCTAGAGGGAAGGGAGGAAAGATCATCATTGTGGGCAACAAGGAAAAGAGCAGTACTCAGAACACAACCTTGGGGTACACCTTTGTATTGCCGAAAAGAGGCAAAGAGAGTGGTACTACGATTATGCAATAATGGTCTAGCAATTATGAGAGGCAGGAGCACCCTGTTCTGAACCCATGTTGTCCAGGGCTATGTAGACACTCCAATTCCACGCGTTTTTTCATCTTATTTCTTAACACTCTTTCAGAGATTTTTATGATGTGTGATGTTAGAGCTATTGGTCTATAATTTTTTGCATCAGATTTACTATCTCTGTGAAGTGGCACTATCTTCCCTTTTTTTAAGGGTGTCAGGAATAACACCAGTATATAGGTTCCTGTCCAAAAGATGTTTAGGGCTTGTGACTGATTTTTTTGCAATTCTCATTGAATATAGAATTCCAGGAGTCTGGGCTTGGTGCAGAGTGCATAGGCATACTGTCTATGGGTATGTCAACCAGTCTGATTTTTTGGCCTAAAATTAACAAGAATGGTAGACCTAATACCTAATTTACATAATCTAATCATGCAACATGAATAGTGTTCAAGAGAGAACTGGATAAGCACCTCCAAAGGATACCTCATCAACTAGGCTGTGATTCATACGTCAGGCTGTGAGCAGCTGCGTCAAACAGCCTGGTTGACCAGTCCAGCAACGAGGAAGCCTGGTCGACGACCGGGCCACGGGGACGCTAAGCCACGGAAACACTTCACGGTAAAATCCAACATAGCTTACCTTGTCATACTGGCACACAACTACATTGTCAGTATCAAACATGTCCGAAGTGTCGTCCTCGCTAACATCATCATCACTGTTGAGGGGCTCCTGAAAGACAATATTCTATGAAACCTTCATTCAGAATCTGGTAGAGATGTTCAAACAAAGTATTTTTCACTGATGCCACAATTCCATCTGTGAAACACAGGAGGTAAGCCTTACCTCCTGTGCACTGTAATCACAAGTTGAAGGAGGCACCCCATGCTGCTTCCAATCAAGAGAGTGATTAGACCTTACTGTGTCCTGATTGACTGACCTTGTTACAACCCTGGCCCCATTGTTGCATTGTGGCAGAAGGGACCAAGGATCATATGGCATTTGTTTATATAGATGATGTCGGGACCCATTAATTATGCATGTACATTATTTTATTGTGATAAACTATGAATGTTGTGTGAACATATGTTAGGAGAATAGTTGTTTAAATTAGTTTTTTTTAGACAGGCTTGGTTTAAGGAGTGTTAATTGTCTGGTAGAATTATAGACAGGTTGGCTTCTTATTTTGTAAATCGTGGGCTGTGTTACAGCAGCCAACGCAGCAAACTTACGAATGTCATAATTATTGTGAGATGATTTCTAGGCTTAGCGTCCCCGTGGCCCAGTCCTTGACCAGGCCTCATTTTTGTTACACACCCCCAGGAAGAAGCCCGTAGCAGCTGTCTAACTCCCAGGTACCTATTTACTGTTAGGTGAACAAGGGCATCAGCATGAAAGAAACTCTGCCCATTTGCTTCGGCCTCAATCGGGGATCGAACCTGGAACCTCAGGACTACTAATCCCGAGTGCTGTCCACTCAGCTGTCAGGCCACTAGCACAAGATAGACCACAGACTGGCTGGATGACACAGTCCTGTGGACGACCTGGGAGACTAGAACCACTGGAACAGGGTAGAAGGGAAACCGGATTAACCCAAAGTGCGTCCCCGGCTACCGAAGCCGTGGTGCGCAGGTAACGGAGAAGCGCCGCAAATGGACACAACACATAATGCACCCCCAGCCGAACCAACCAAGCATTAAAAACCCAAGGACCCCATCTGGAAAGAAGCAGTCTCATTCTTTGTCAGAAAAGAGACGGCTGCAAACAAACAAACCTATCACCAGGACCAAAAGAGAAGAAACCCGTGCCGGAGAAGAGCACGAAGCTCTCCAACCCGACCCCCAGAGGCCAATGCCAACAGGAAAAAAAAAAAAAAAAGAGCCTTTGCAAAACAATCTTGAACTGAAGGAGCCATAACAAATCGAGGAGAAGATAGAAAAGAGAGCACCCGGTCCAACGACCAGGACGGCTCACGCAGCGCATGAGCAGGCCGAAGGTGAAACAACGCAAAAGACAACTTGCGGAACCACCCCGAATTCATCGAACCCCTGCAGTTCAGGCAATGAACCACCAGGGAGCAGTCCAAATGGAACTGGAGCGTCGATCCGCAAGCGACCCGAACCCACTGAAGCAACATTCACACTGCCGCGAACTCTGCACCGTGCTGTGTGCCCGATGGATGGACAGACCCGGCCAGCCTGGTGAGCACTGGTCACAAAACCCCAGACAAGAGACGATGCATCCCTGAACACATCGAGCAAGGGATCGGGTAGGCGCCAAGGCACTGAACCCCGAAAAACCTGAAGAGGAAGCTGGCAACGCAGCAGCCAACATAAGGCACCCAGTGGCCAAACCCAACGATTGCGAAAGAGGTAGAAGGGACATCCCCAAAGGAAGCAGAACAGCCGGCGAAGCCAAACCCGACTCGGCAGGTAGACCATCACGGCAAAATTCACTCCAGAACAAATCCTCAAGCAACCACCTTGTGACCTTGGAGCCCCTCCCCCCCAGAAACAAGCAAAGGCGGGACTGCAGCCACAGCAGAGCTGCCAGAGGGAGACACACAGAAGTGGTCCGAGAGTCCCACACTATACCCAGCCAAGACCGAACCTGAGAGGGACCCAGATGGAACTTCCTCCAGTTCACCAGGAACCCAAATCCGGTGAGCTGGGAAAGAACCAAATCCCTAGCGAGCAGACACTGGCTGGGAGATCACACCAGCCAGTCGTTGAGGTAGGCCAACACCCGAACCACAGACGCAAACAGGCCACCACGACCCAGGTAAGGTGTGTGAACACGCGAGGTGCCAGATTCAAACTGAATGGAAGGCAACGAAAGCAGTAGGCCTGGTGAACAAATCCACAAGGGCCGTGACGAGGACTCGAACATGCATCTGAGAGCATCCCAAATGCTGGCTTAATCGACTGAGCTACAACATGGTCAAAAGCCTGATGCCCCACAACAAAACCTAGCCAGTCCCTGAACCCCTGACGAATCTCACCATCCATCCCACCCTCCATCCTTCTAGTTCCCCCCACCCTCCATCCTTCTAGTTCCCCCCTATCCATCCATTCAGTTCTCCCACCATTCATCCATCCATTCAGTCCCCCCCACCATCCATCCCTCCAGATCCCCCCCATCCATCCATCCAGTTTCCCCCCATCATCCATTCATCCAGTTCCCCCCCCCATCATCCATCCATCCAGTTCTCCCCCATCCATCAATCCAGTTCTTCCCCACCATCCATCCAATCCCCACACCATCCATCCATCCACCCAGTTCCTCCCACCATACATCCATCCAGTCCTCCCCCCCCCCTACTATCCATACCTCCAGTCCCCTCACTATCCATCCTGTTGCCCTCCCAAATATGACCGAAAAGTTAAGTGACATTTTTAAACCCACTGGATAATAGCAGAGCCCAGAATTTAATGACTTGGGTAGAGCCTCATTTGGGTCATTAATTAAATCGAGTGGATATTGAACAAGCACTTCTTACTCCGGAGCAAACGCCGTACACCGGGGCAGATTTTACGAGGGAATTGACGTTGTACACCGAAAAATATTGTCCTGGTACTCAAGGCCAATCGTACACCGAGGTTCCACTGTATCAGTAGGACAAATATAAGGATCAGAGAACAAAGTTAAGAATCAATGGGACAAAATTAAGGCATAATGGACAAATTAAAGGATCAGGGGAACAAAGTTAAAGAAAATGGGACAAAATTAAGCATTCGGAGAACATCAGTAGAAGCCACAAGAAGGGTTTGAACCTGCACACTGGGTACTCCAAAGCACGTGCCTTGTACATAACATTATGAAGTGACTGTAATTTCTTTGTACAAACATTAGGGAAGAAAGTTCAGATTCAAGGACACAAAGTAAACAATCAGGGGACAAAGGATCATGCTTTACACTTGGATTTTATTGTTTGTTTACCAAATTCTTCCAAAATTTATGTTCACAAACATCAAGATGAGAGTAGAGTTATATAATAATGTGCTATATAGGCCAAAATTGATTTATAAACAAACTTTACTCTCATCTTGGTGTATTTCTGTATTGTTGTCTTAACTTGTCTTCAATCATCAATACTAAATATAGAAGACTAATTTTATTACAAACATTTTTGCATGAAATTTTATTATTTAAAGTATAGTGGTATCTTGGTGTACGACTGCCCTAGAGTACGAATTTTTTTAGTATACAGTACGACATCAAATTCATTGTAGAATTTGAATTGGTGTATGATGTGTCACAAAAATAGCCCTAGGAAAGGAGATTGAGCCTATTCCTTCATCACCTATTCAACAACAACATGTCTGCATGTTCAAGAATAACTAATTAACAGCAAGAGCAACAACAACTATACATCTAGACAAGATTCCACCACCCTACCTCTACCAGTAACCGTCAGACCAGCACACCTGGCGTCTGGGAGTCACCCCACTCGCTGGTCAACAAGCACATTGCTCGTTTGCTCCTGCCGGCTTCCAATTATCGGCACACCAGCGCCATCTACACGGCCTCACCCGTGTATATAAGGAGCCCACCAGCCACTTCACGGCAGAATACTCTCCAGTGCTCAACCTACCTACATCTGCTCTCACACTACCCTATGTGGTGGTAGATTTATGCAGTATTGTACAAAGCATTCCAGCACCAATTATTTTGATCTTTAACGTAACGTTAATTTTTTTGTTTGCTTTTCATTTTTGCACTGTATTATTAAGCCAAGTCATAGAGGAACTATTTTTATTTCATGTAAATTGTTAAAGTTATTTTCTGGGGGGAGCCCCGTCTGCTCCCCAGAGCTTTACCAGGCTGATATCCACCCATCAGTTCTTCGGCTGATGCTATAGGCACCGGTTGTGTGCTCCGGCTCCATTAGTTGTTTCAGCACTGTATCTAGAGAGTGGTGTCTGTCTTCTAGGTGGTGCGTGAGCCTGGAGCGAGTCTCCAGTACTCAGCCTGCATGCGCCTAGGGTTCCGGGTTCCCTTCCCTAGATGCCCTGTAAGTACTACCCTTGGGGCTTGGGGCCACCTTCCACAAGTTCCTTGGGTTCTGCCCCTGCTAGGCCGTTTACTGCTTGGTTTTCGGCCGTTCTTTGTGTGCTTGGGTGTTCTGTCTCCCTTGTTCGCCTTAGGGTAAGGGGCAGTTTTACACTGGTGGGGCGCAGGGTGCTGCGCAGCCTGTTTTCACCTATATGGCGGCCGGCTCTGCTCCGCTTGGGTATGCTGTCCTCTTGTGGGGTTTTCTTTTTATTTTTGTTTATCTACCTGGTGGGGGGGTCTGCCTTCATTTTTGCCCCCTGTGTCCTTTGTGATCTGAGTATTATTCTGGTGGTTCCCCCTGCTAGGTCCTACGAGTGTACACGTCCCAGGGGTTCAGTTCTTAGAAATTTGTTTGGTAGTTTTGGGCGCCGGTTAGCAGTACCCTGCCTGGGATTACCTGAGCGCGAGTCCTATTATAGTAAACGCTCAGGACCTTGGGAAACCCCTGGGGGTGCGCGGGTCTGATGGATGTGACCCCGGAGTCCCCCCCCTCGCTTCCAGTGAGTTTGAGGGTTGCTCTCACCCCTTGTCTCAGGGTGACTCTTTTGCCTCTGCCTGTGGGGTCGGTGACACCTTCGACCCGGAGTCCTGCGAGTTTTGTTCCTCATTGTAGCTCGGTTACCCAGTTGTGTGCTGACTAAGCGGGTGCAGGCAGCAGGGGCATTGCACGTTGAGCC